GAAGCTAGCAGAAGTTGGCTCATGAAGTTTAAGGAAAGAAGTCATCACCATAGCATAAAAGTGCAAGGTGAGGTAACAAGTGCTGATGTAGAAGCTGCACCAAAGTATCCAGGAGATTTAGCTAAGATAATTAACAAAGGTGGCTACACTCAACAACAGATTTTCAGTGTAGATGAAACAGCTTTGTATTGGAAGAAGATGACATCTAGGACTTTCATAGCCAGAGATAAGTTGATGCTTGGCCTTAGAGCTTCAACAGACAGACTGAGCCTCTCATTAAGGGTTACTGCAGCTGAAGCCAGTGCTAATGGACCATCCTTGAAAGCCTCCTAAGAACGATGCTAAATCTACTCTGCCTGTTCTCTAAAAACGGAACAACAAAGTCTGAATGACAACGTATCTGTTCCTAGCTTTATTTACTGAATATTTTAAGCTCACTGTTGAGACCTATTTCTCAGAGAAAAAAATCCTTTCAAAATATTACTGCTAATGTACTTGGTCACTCAAAAACTCTAATGAAAATGTACAATGAGATTAATGTTGTTTTCATGCCTGCTTAACACAACATCCATTCTACAGCCCATGGATCAAGGAATAATTTAATTTTCAAGTCCTTTAATTTAATAAATACACTTTATAACTTTATAGCTGCCATACATAGTGATTCCTCTGATGGACCTGGACAAAAAAACTGAAAACCTTCTGGAAAGGATTCACCATCCTAGATGCCATTAAGAACATTCAACACTGAGAGAGGTAAAAATATTAATACTAGTGAGGAGTTTGGAAGTTGATTCCAATCCCCATGGATGACTTTGAGGGGTTCGAGATTTCAGTGCATGAAGTAACTGCAGATTTCCAGATATGGTGGAAATAGCAAGACAAATAGAACTAGAAGTGGAGCCTGAAGAAGTGACTGAATTTCTACAATCTCATGATCAAACCTGAATGGGTGAGGAGTTACTTTTAATGGGTGAGAAAACCAAGTGGTTTCTTGATATGTAATCTACTCCTGGTGAAGATACTAAGATATTGTTGAAATGACAACAAAGGATTTAGAATATTACATAAACTTGCATTAAGCAGAGTTTGAGAGGACTGACTCCATTTTTGAAAGAAATTCTATTGTGGGTAAAATGCTATCAAACAGGTTTGCATGCTCCAGAGAAATCAATTGTGGAAGTAAGTGTCAACTGACATGGCAAACTTCATTGTTTCCTTCTTTTATGAAATTGCCAGAGCCACCCTGACCTTCAGCAGCCACCACCCTGGTCAGTCGGCAGCCAGCAACACTGAGGCAAGAACCTCCACCAGCAAGAAGATTATGACTCACTGAAAGCTCAGATGATGGTTAGCATTTTTTAGCAATGAAGTATTTTTTTAGTTAAGGTATACACATTCTTTTAGACATATGCTATTACACACTTTGTAACAGACTACAGTATGGTGTAATCATAATTTAATATGCACTGGAAAACCAAAATATTATTTGACTCACTTTATTGAAGTCATTAGGAATGCAACGCATGATATCTTTGAGGTATGCCTGCATGGGCAACAGATACTTCAAGAGACAATTTATACAAAAGGGTGGAAGGAGGGCAAACAAGCAAATGAAAAGACATTCAACATCATTAGCCATTAAGGAAAGAGAAATTAAGGCCACAATGAAATATCACTACAAATTAAAACTGGTAAAATAAAAATCTGTGACAATACCAAATGGCAGCAAGGATGTAGAGAAACAATAATCTCTCAGACACTGCTGGTGGGAAAATATTTTAAACTAAATGAAATATAAGCTAAATGTATATTTAGTTTAAGAAAATTCAATATTCACTTACTATATGATCAAGCAATCATACTCCTTGCTTTCATTTATAGAAATGAAAACCTTAGTCTATAAAAAATTTGCATAAAAATGTACACAGTAGCTCTAGTTATAACAGAAAAAAACTAGAAACAACCAAGTCATCCTTCAATAGATGAATGGTTAAACAAATCATGGTATAATTATTTCATGAAATACTACTCAACAAACAAAAGGCACAATACATGGAACAGTCCAGATGGATCTCACGAGCATTTTGCTAAGAAAAGTCAATATCAAAAGTTTGAGTACTGTATGATTCCCTTTATATAATCTTCTCAAAATGACAAAATTATAGAAATAGACAACAAATTAGTGTTTCCCAGGACTTAGGGATGGTGGAGGAAGAAGAGGGTAGGGTGACTGTAACAGTAGAAAGGAAATCTTGATAGTGATGAAATATTTCTGTATTCTGATTGTGGGGGTGGTTATCCAAATCTACACATGTGATAGAATGGTATAAAATTATATATACACATTATACTATGCTAATTTACTGGCTTTGCTATTTTATTACAGTTATATAAGATGTAGAAAACTGGGTGAGGGTATACGGAGCCCCTCTTCCTATCACTTCATAGCTTTCTATGAATGTATAATTATTTCAAAATAAAAAGTTTATAGAAGCTCTAAAAATTGCAATATATGCATACACAAAACTTGCTCAAAAGCTGTGTTTCATAGCTTTTCATCTATTCTAGGATGATCAAGAACACATAAGGACTTTACTGTCATTATGCAGCATTATTTGAATATACAGTGCTGTTCAAATGAACAGTGTCTATTCTAAAATTATCCATTATCCCTGCTAGACTGTGCCCTCTTTAAAGACCACATCTGATTCATTTTTTCTATCCCAAGCACCTACAATGAGTCCTCACAAGTCATACGCATTCAATAAACGTTTGTTGAATGAAGTTGTCAAGAGAGACTACAGATTAACTGGAGTATTAGAGATTAGAGCCATAAAGTTGAAGCAAATCTTGGCCTTTGGTGACAATCTTGTTGTAAAAGGCTTTATTTTCAGTTATTTTAAAAGCCTCGAGGTTTTGACAGTGAATCACAGAACTGTCTGATCATGAAGGAAGAGAAATAGGTAGATCACTTCTGATTCCAAGAAAATAAGTGTTAACCTGAAGGAAAAAAATTTCAAGATGGAACTCTCAAAGAAGTTAGAATCTAAAAAACATTAGTCAGAGGCTGTAAAGAAAAATAACTCCAAGAAATAAAAGAAAATAACACTTGTATTAAGTGTGTCTGTATAGGATGGGTTCAAAAGGGAAATGGTAAATTTGACCAAGAAGGAAATGGAAGGGATATATATATATATATGCAAGCACTTCTCTAGAAAAACTTGCAACTTACTTTTTTTAAGGACATAAATGACATATTTCATTGTGTTTCAAATACAATTGTGCCTGTGGGTGACTGTAACAGTAGAAAGGAAATCTTGATAGTGATGAAATATTTCTGTATTCTGATTGTGGGGGTGGTTATCCAAATCTACACATGTGATAGAATGGTATAAAATTATATATACACATTATACTATGCTAATTTACTGGCTTTGCTATTTTATTACAGTTATATAAGATGTAGAAAACTGGGTGAGGGTATACGGAGCCCCTCTTCCTATCACTTCATAGCTTTCTATGAATGTATAATTATTTCAAAATAAAAAGTTTATAGAAGCTCTAAAAATTGCAATATATGCATACACAAAACTTGCTCAAAAGCTGTGTTTCATAGCTTTTCATCTATTCTAGGATGATCAAGAACACATAAGGACTTTACTGTCATTATGCAGCATTATTTGAATATACAGTGCTGTTCAAATGAACAGTGTCTATTCTAAAATTATCCATTATCCCTGCTAGACTGTGCCCTCTTTAAAGACCACATCTGATTCATTTTTTCTATCCCAAGCACCTACAATGAGTCCTCACAAGTCATACACATTCAATAAACGTTTGTTGAATGAAGTTGTCAAGAGAGACTACAGATTAACTGGAGTATTAGAGATTAGAGCCATAAAGTTGAAGCAAATCTTGGCCTTTGGTGACAATCTTGTTGTAAAAGGCTTTATTTTCAGTTATTTTAAAAGCCTCGAGGTTTTGACAGTGAATCACAGAACTGTCTGATCATGAAGGAAGAGAAATAGGTAGATCACTTCTGATTCCAAGAAAATAAGTGTTAACCTGAAGGAAAAAAATTTCAAGATGGAACTCTCAAAGAAGTTAGAATCTAAAAAACATTAGTCAGAGGCTGTAAAGAAAAATAACTCCAAGAAATAAAAGAAAATAACACTTGTATTAAGTGTGTCTGTATAGGATGGGTTCAAAAGGGAAATGGTAAATTTGACCAAGAAGGAAATGGAAGGGATATATATATATATATGCAAGCACTTCTCTAGAAAAACTTGCAACTTACTTTTTTTAAGGACATAAATGACATATTTCATTGTGTTTCAAATACAATTGTGCCTGGTTTATTACTAATTTTGCTTGAACAGAGTAAAATAGCAAACTTTATGACTTTGCAGGTGAAACTATGTTGGACTATATAGTATCGAAACAGCAATTTAGATTTTGAAACACTGTTCTTAGGGAAGAACAATTTAAATGTGTGTAACTTTACAAGAATTTGATACTGAACTGGTTATGCTTCATGACCAGAAAAGGCTGAATTAGAAGGTTCTCATCACTTGCTATATTTTAGATTATGACAGATAGACATAAATGTGGAATGAGGACAGCTTATCACATTCCAATTCCATATCCTAACGTCTCAACCTTTTACTCAATAACTGATATTCTCTACAATGACGGCAAACAGCAAAGGATTTTGTGTAATGACTAATATCATTTAAAAATACTGTCTCAGTTATCCAGCAAAAATTACACTCGAGTGCTCAGAAGTAGATATTCTAAACTAACATTTTGAACAAGGTAATTTTTCAAGGGTTCCAAAGGAGACAGTGGATTTACTTAGTAGTCATAGTTGTTATGTATCTTGCACAAGCCAAGATCCTGAGGATCCTCTGTTCCTACACATCTGTTATAGCAACACAGAAGTCATTTTATACTTTCTCTAAGCTGCAGACATTGCTAAAAGAACAGGTAGGACTCACCAATTGTAATCTAGTCGAGACTGATGAAGCTGCTGCTGTTTTAGGAGAAGCTTTGTCTCCTGATGGGCCAGCAGATGCTGAAGGCGCTCCTTTTCAATTTCAAGCTCCATTTTCTGAAGCATAAGTTGATGCCTTCTTTCTTCTGAAAGCTGCTTTTTGACCTCAGTTTCACTAGAGTGCAGTTTCCCCTGACCATGCATCAGAGATGCCCAGGAAAGCCCACAATAACTGCATGATTCTGGGTATGTCCTGGAATATTGAGGGGCCATGTTTACAGGATGGCACTCATGAACATGATCTGCATTTTCAGAAAGTCTATGACCACAACAGTGACTAGACAGAGTAGGCTTCAGGTGTTGGCATTCCTTCATCTTCATTTCCTCTGGTGGGGCTTTCCCTGTAGGGACTGCATCTACTAATTTTTTCCCTGGGGATCCAAAATTACATGCTCTGGTCTCTGACAGAATTGTGTCTAGATCCTCTTTGGTATAATGAAGGGCTGCTGGTTTCAAAGAATTATTCTTAAACTCCACAAGGGATTCTGAAACTGAATCCTGGTTTGCAGACTTAGCTCTCTGCTTGGTTTGATAGTAGGTTTGTGGTTTAGCTACACTCAAGTAGGAACCATCCATTTCTACTGATGAAGACTGCAGAGTGCTTTTCCGATTGGATGCCTAAAAAGAACCACAATATCACTTGTCAATAAGAGTGCAATGCAACAAGTTCTTTCTTTCTTTTTTTTTTGGCTTTTCAGAAATCAGTGATATATGTTTACACACAAAAATTTGTTGTTTTGTCTTCATAAATAATTAATAATAGGATTCACACAGCTAATCAGTCATGTGCCACAAAGCTAAACCCAATTTTAAATAATATACAAGTATGAGAAAAAGTGTTGATGCTTGCTGCTTAAGCAAGATTTCAGGAGTTGCAAATAATGGGGATTACATAAAATCAGCTTTGAGAAGAGACAAAAGCTTTAAATGTTAATGTTTCAAAACGTTTAATTTTGAATACTAAGCCGAGAAATCCATTCAGACACCTTAAATACTCTTTGAAATATCCTTTGATTGGCCATTACACAGCATGAGATTTGATGTAAAACATTTCATCTTACACTGAATAGGACGTTAGCTACTCCTGTAAATTTGATGAGTTTTTATAAATATCTTTATAGCATACTGATAAAACCAACCACTTTCAAAAAAATATGATTCTAATCAACAGTGGTTATTTAAACAAAACATATTTAATTTCAGGTATAAACCTAAGAGATTTTTCAGTGAAGCTGTTCAAGTGATTATAGTCTGATATAACTCAGGCAGAAAGGAAGCAGTTGCAAATTACCTTTGATAGGGCAATAGTGAGCTTTCCCAATATTTTAGCCTCAAGCCTGTTTTATCAGGGAGAGAGCAGTATAGTCTACAAAGTTGATCCTAAAACTTTAGCATGTATCAGAATCACCTGGAAGGCTTATTAAACATGAATTGCTGGGCTTTATCCCTAGAGTTTCCAATTCAGAACGTCAAGCAGAGTTGACTTGCATTGTTAACAAGTAGCCAGGTGCAGCTGCTGCTGAGACCACATGTGGAGAAGCACTGGTCTATCTCGTGGGACATCTGACTCCTGTGTCCCTTTTATAAGGACGATTTTGGTCACATCAGGCTCACCCAAGCAATCCTGGATAATATCCTCATCTCAAAATCCTTAACTTAAACAGCTATGTAAAGTCTCTTGCCATACAAAATCCTTTGTGCCATATAAAGTGATATTCACAGGTTCCGGGAATTAGAATATGGACATATTTGGGGGCTATTATTCGGTCCACCAAAACTTCTTTTTAAATAGGAACTGATTCATAAACAATTGAGATGCGTATGTATTCTGGAGACACTGAATGAATGAATAACTAAGAATCCTAGCGAAAAGAGAAAAAAAACTCCACCAATCAAGTTTGCAATAGCCAAAAACGAACTGATTTGTAAGAATTGTCAACTAACAGAGATAGAAGGCAACACCATGTTTCCTACTCTTTGATAAAAGAGGGCTAGTACAATGACAATTTTAAACATTTTAAGTGTGTTTCTAAAGCAATGCTGAAGTGGTTATATTTCAATGAGAATGAATCACATCTGGGGAGGAGACTTGGTCCTCTTCAAAGAAGAAGACATGCAGTCCTGTACACTGAGCAGATGACAAGCTACAGAAAAGGAAGTAGAACCTAGGGCAAAATTTATCATAAACTATACAGAAAAGGAAGTAGTCCTAGGGCAAAATTTATCATAAACTATTTCATAAAAAATTATCTGTATTTTACCCTTAAAGGAAAACTCTAGCCCACATTAATCTCCCCTATTCTGAATTTCTGTAGCACTTACTGTCAACACAAATAATTAGCATCTACCATCTGCTACTCTGTACGGTAAACTAGCTTTTTATAGAATTATTATACTTTAAAATTATAGAAGTTATTTTAAATGTCTAGAAATTTAAATCAGCTATTTCACATCATCACAGATTTTTCTAATCTGTGTGTTATCAACATAACATCAACAGCATGTATACATTATTATATATTCTCCTTTTGTTTCTTAATATTATTTACATATGTGCACTTTTAGGTATTGACAAAGCCAACACTTATTTTAATGGTACTGATTGTTAAATTAGCCACAAAGGGCAGGTATTTGGAATATATCTAATTTTTTTTTGGTAGTTAACATTTTGTTTTTGAGGCAATACAACTTAATGATTTTGCTCAAAGAGAACACTGTTTGCCAATTACTTGATGGGTGACTGTACATGTTTATAGGCAGAATTCCAAGATAGTACCCAAGATTTCCATCTTCTTGGTATACCCACTCTGTATTATCTTGAGTATGTGTAAGACTGGGAGTGTGATATCAATCCTGTGATTATGTTACAGTACATGGCAAAATGGATGTCACCGATGTAACTAAGGTTCCTAATCAGCTGACTGAATTAATAAAAAGGGTGATTATCTTGTTTGGGCCAGACCTAATCAGGTAATGGTCTGTTCCCCACCCCAAAGACAGATATTCTCTTGTTAGCTTTAAAGAAATAAGCCACCATGTTGTGGGAGAGCGAGAGGAGGGGGTTAAGTGAGAAATGAACTCTGGAGCAGAACAGTTTCCAGCCAACAGCTAGCAAGGAAATCAGACATTTAGCATATAGATGCAAGAAACTAAATTCTGCCAACAACCATGTGAGCTTAGAAGCTCCAGACTACAACATGGCCTGGATGACCCCTTGGTTGCAGCCTTCTAGGACTCTGAGCAGAGGACTCAATTAAGATATGCCTGACTCATGAACCATGGAAACTGTGTTAATCAATGTGTGGTGTTGTAAACTACCAAATTGGTAGTAATTAGTTATACAGCAATAAAAAATTAATACAGTACATTACTCAACTTGCCTGACCATCAGTTTTTCAAATTTCCTGACACTCCATTTCCTCATCAGAGAAACAAATATGAAAAACAGCATCTACTTCAAAACTGAATGTGGTGGTGAGACAGATGGGCAGTTATCAAGGGTGCCAATTTATAAGGGTACCAATTTACAAAAAGAAAAAAAACCCCTTATATTCATTTATCTGAACTTCTTTCACAAAGAACATTACAGGGTGTGTGTGTGTAGGGGGATGAGATCCCCAAGGGTATGTTCAGTTACAAGAGATTACCTTTAAACAGTCTTCCAAAAAGAATGAGTTTAGCTATCTATCTTTATTTTGATATGAGGTTTGCAAGTTGGGACAAAGTTGAATTGCTTGAAATAACAGATTCTTCATCTTTCTTCTTATACAAAAGCTGTCAGTCTTACACTAACATCTTACATGTTTGAGTTGTTGTGATCAGTAGAGGACATGATTCATATAAAATGTTTTGGATAGTGCCAAATATAAAGGTACTATTAAAAAGTTGCTTCCTATTACTACTTCTACTATTATCACTGACTTCTCTCCTAAACAACTTTTAAAAGCAGGGGATATATTTACTCCTCTATGTATAGCACTGGGGATTGCACATAAGGCACTCTCAATAACTACAGATTGACTTTATCAGCTTAGTAGAAAAATTCAAGTTTCGATATGGGTCACAATAATAAAAGAAAATCAGAATCCATGATAAGGTTCAATCAGATACTACTAAGGAAGAGGAAGAGAAGAAATAGAAAATTGCCTATTAGAATGTGAATATACGAAATTAAGTTATTTTATTAGTCGAGTTAAGACAAACAATGACTTTGGGGCATATGCAAGTCACAGTGGGCCTGAATGAAACATGTGTGCTTTTCTTTCTGGAGCTGCTCTATGCTTTCCATGTGATACCTACAAATATAACTTCTTTTAACTAAGGTTTAAACTAGCAACAAATCCCAAGCTGTTGTACTTAGCATATGGATTTGATACTATTTTCCCAGATAATAGCACTAATTTAGAAACCGATAGATCTTTTTAAAAAGAGGAATATCTTATATACAATAAAATGCAAAGATCTTTACTGTACAGGTTGATGGATTTTTACATTTACATATACCCATGTGATTATCACCCAGATCAAGTTACAAAATGTTTCCATTACTGCAGAAAGTTTCCTTGTGTCCTCTCTAGTCAATAACACCTCATACTCCTATGGGTAATCATTATTCTGACTTCTCTGACTATAGATTAGTTTTGCCTATGTTGAACTTCAAATAAATGGAATCTTACAGTATGCTACTCTTTCATGGTTGGCTTGTTCCTGAAGAAGCAACTCTAACAGAAGCAAATACTAACAACTAAAGAGGGAAATAGACTGCAATGTTTCACTGATTCTTTCTATGTTTATTCTTCCAATTTTATTTATTTCTGCTCTTATCTTTATTATGTGCCTCCTTCTACTGCCTTTGGGGATCATTTCCTCCTCTTTCTCTAGTTTCATTAAATGTGACTTAAGACTGTTGATTAGGCTAACCCTATACACAAAAGTAAACTCAAAATGAATCAAAGACCTGAATGTAAGTCATGAAACCATAAAACTCTTACAAGACAACATAGGCAAAAATCACTTGAATATAAACATGAGCAACTTTTTCATAAACTCATCTCCTTGGGCAAGGAAACAAAATAAAAAATGAAGAAACAGGACTACATCAAGCTAAAAAGCTTCTATACAGCAAAGGACACCAACAGCAGAAAAAAAGGCATCCTACAGTATGGGAGAATATATTTGTAAATGACATATCCGACAAGGGGTTAACATACAAAATATATAAAGAATTCACACGCCTCAACACCCAAAAAGCAAATAACCCGATTAAAAAATGGGCAGAGGGGAGATCAGATCTACAGGGGTGGAGCCAAGATGGCGGCAGACGAACTCTCCTCCCAAAACCACATAGAATTATGAAAATATAACAAAGGCAACTTCCTAAAATACAGACCAATGGACACAGGACAACATCAAGACCACATCCACACATGCGAGAACCCAGCGCCTTGCGAAGGGGGTAAGATACAAGCCCCAGCCCGGCGGGACCCGAGTGCCCCTCCTCCAGGCTCCGGCGGGTGGAAAGAAACCGGAGAGTTTTTTTCTTTTTTTTTGGCGAGTGCTTTTTGGAAGCCTTAAAGGGACAGGGACCCCAATACTAGGGAAACAGGGCAGTAAGGCCG